ATTTTAGAGAGGCGAGGAGAGCGAAATTTTACCGTTTATAAATGTTTTTGTACAGGTATAGGTTTAAGAGGTCAAAAGACTTAGAAAAATTTGAAGACGAAGAAAAAGCTAAGGCCATTTGACTGGGCACGGGCCCAATCAGGCGAAGCTCGCCCGATCGGGCACGCAACCAAGGGAAAATTTTAGCTTTAATTTCGCCCGATCGGGCGTGGCTGCCCGATCGGGCGCAAAAGGAGAGTTCGCGCCCGATCGAGCAGAGCTCGCCCGATCGGGCGCGCAACTAAGGTTTGGAAATCAGCATAATTCGCCCGATCGGGCGCGCCTAATTTTGGCCGACCTTTAATTCTTTTCCCCTTCTTTCTTTCCTCACTTTCTTCTTCTTTCATCTTTTTCACCATTACTTTCTCTCTCTACAACCTCCATTTTTACACCTTTAAACTCACTTATTCTCAAGATCTTCTCCAATCCTTCCAACAAAACTCAAAAATTTTTGCATATTTTTAATCCTTTCATCTTTCTCTACAATCTACACCTAATTTCTACCACTTTCTCTCAATTTTCTCTAAACCCTAAGAGAGAGAAAGTCTTCAATTCCCATATTTTCTAATCACAATGGCTCTCAAGAGATCAAGAACCGTAAGGGGGGAAAGCTCAAGGCAACAAGAGGCCAGAATTGACCAGGATTTGCATGTTCCGGGATGGGAGAGGGTGGTCATCACCACCCAAGAGAAAAAACAAAGGATGATCAACCTCACTTCGAGGCAGGTAATTCCCACTCGTTTTATTCATCACCCCACCCTTATTAGATTAGGAATTGATAAGCATGTAGAAAAATTGATCAAGGGAGTTGGCATGAGCGGTTTCTTTAACATGCATTACGATGTTTATTATTACTTAACCTTAGAATCCGTTTCTAGTTTTAATGTCATAAAATCTAATGCTTTAATTTCTCATGTTCAATTTCGATTATTCAATAATGATGTTAGATTGACATTGAAAGAATTTGGTAAACTTTTTGAGTTAAACTCGGATAGGTCACTTGAACCGCCCCAAGACAACATTGTCGTTGTCTATCAATCCCTTATGGGGGATCCTAATGTAAACCTCCAACATGCCAAGGCACTTGGATACAACATCCCGTGCCAAAGCTTTGGCAACGGTTTGTTGGCCTTACCATTTTTGGAAGGCATGAACCCGCTAATGTGAGGCGGGATGAGCTTGAATTGCTAGGGTCATACATGATCCCTAGAGTGAAAAGCTCAACATAGTCCACAAAATGGCCAACCACTTCCAACGGGTGGCCAATGCGGCCGAGGCAGGTAGGTCTAGGGTACCCATTTATTTTGGTGGCCTAGTTACACACATAGCGGTCAAGCACCTTAACTTTGTCCCTAACGATGACGGTAAGGTATCCGGCCCAACTATTATGGACCTACCCTATTTAGGTGGCCTTAATTGGATTAATGTCATGGGAGGAGAGACTTTGTGGGGGATCCAACGGGAATCGGGTAGGAGGGATAATTCTTTCACATTACCCAACCCCACCTTGACCAAATTTGAGAAGGGGAAGTCTTCTTACACTTTCGAGATCAACGGTCAAGGTGAGGTTCAACCACCTCACCCTTCACCTTAACCTCACCAATCTCCCATAGACCACTCACCTCATCACCATTTACCACCTCCACCCTTTACATATGATATTCCCACTTCCTCAACCAACTACAACATTGACCCCAACGCCCCTTATGACTTCTCGGCTTTTAGGAGCCAATTAGATAGGATTGAGAGGGGGAAAGGGAGAGTTGAGGGTATGGTTAGGGACTTGGACACTAGAGTAGGGTCTCTAGATAGAAGGGTGGGTATGTGGAGATGAACCTAGGGAGGGGTTTATACCCCATGTATGATGATTACGCCCGTCGGGGGGCTATTCCCCCCGATTCACTTGTTCCCGATTGGTTCCAATATCCGCAAGGTGGATATACGAACCCAAGTGCCTACGGTACCTATGTCTACTACTCATCGGTCCATGGTTATGGGACCGATGTACCTTTTGGTGGGCTTGGGGGGAATGTGGACCCTAACTACTTTGCAGGTGGTTCGGGTTATGGAGGTGGTGGCTCTAGCCATGGAGGAGCCGATTCTAGCCACGGAGGGGGCTATTCAAGGATGGATGAGGATGAAAAGTAGGCTACACTCCCAAGTCAATGAGGGCATTGCTTGATTTGGCTTGGGGGGTGTTCTTTCTCTTGGTAATTCTCTTCCTTTTCTCTTTCTATTTGCTTTCTAGTATAGTTTTTATTGCTTTCCTAGTGTAGTTTTTATTGCTTTCTTATATATGAAAAATACAAAAAAATTGAAAAATAAAAAAAAATTCTAAAATACGTTCCAATGAATTGTAAATCATGCTTCCCTGTGCCCCATACTTGAGAAAATTTGTTTTGATTCTTGGTTATTGATAATGAGCATTGTAGATTTGTTAGTCATGATTTGAAGTTTAATTGCTTGGATTCCTAAACATGAGTCAATTTTGCCAACTATTTGTGAATATAGTGCTTGACTAGTTGATTTGGTTAGGAAATGTGTGATAGTTCCATAATTCCTGGTATGTCAATGAATTTGAGTATTGATTTGCAACTACGAGTAGTGTTTCATGACTTATTATTATGCACATGAGGAGGACGAAGGCGTTCATTCTTTTAGGTAGCCTTCAGAGTTTTAGATACATTTGTTCCCTTCTTGTTACCCATGTTGTTGCTTGTGCCCTTTTATTGTTATTTAGCCACATTACAAGCCTATATGAGCCCCATTGGTTACTAGTCCCAAGCTTGGCTTGGGGGAGCTATTAGTTGGTGAGGTGAGGGAGTTGTAGTGTGCACATTATTTGCACAATGTGGGAATAAAAGAAGAGTTATTGTTCTTTGATTTTTGATTGGAAAATATTGATGTTGTGTTTCAAAGTTGAAATTTCCAATATGAGTTAAAAAGAAAAAAAAAAGAGCAAAAGAAAAATTTTTATGCTCAAATTTTCTCTTTGAAGGTTGTTCAAGAAAAAAAATTCAAGTTGAAAAAGAAAAAAAAAGGGAATGAATTCAAAGTTTGTTTTTCACTCAAAGGTCTACATTATCATATTTTTATGAGTGATTATTATAAGTGTTGGGATTGCTTATGATGATTAGAGTTGTATTTGGTGGTTTTTGTTGGAGTTAGTTATGTTGATGGAGATGTATGATCATAATTTATTAGGATTTGGCTCCCTTAATGCATAGCTTTTCTCTCACATAATCCCAAATTTATCCTACCGTTTACCCTAGCCTTACATTACAAGCTTTAAAGACCTTCCGACCTTGTGCATAGAAGTTATGTAAATGTGAAAGTGTTGTTTGTCAATGCAAGTTATGACTTGGCATATTTCGAGTCGACTAGTAGGTTGAGCGTTCATTGTTCTTATACACACGAGAGTGTGAGTTGGGAGGGCATTGTTCACATTAAAGGGGTTGGTTGGAGAGCGATCGAGTACATCTTTTACTCGCCACATAAATGCAACTTATCTAAACAACATTGAACATCCCACATAAATATTTTGGTTTGTTTTTTTATTTTCTTGCTTGAACTCAGTTTGTTTAGCTATGCTTTTGACAGGTATTAAAGACGCTATATAAATTTTTGATATGTCCATTTTATATAGTAATTTACCCCGTCCTTGGTCATAATTAGTAGTGTTTTTGGCTCTTTCGAGCCACTTTTATCACTACTTTGTGTTTTCGTAGTCTTTGTTGAGTTTTGTAGGAAATTGCGCCTTTGGAGCATTTTCTCGGGTTTTTCATGGAGCGACTACGGGAATTAGAAGTGCACGACCATCTTTGAAGCCCAAGGCCGGTTAGAGTCATTGAGCCGGTGATTAAGGGCTTGGTAATTGGGATCCTGGGGCATTTGGACCGAGTATTCAAGACCCGAAGAGGAAATACGGATTGGGCCGAGAAATCAAACCCAATCGAAGTCCGAGCCTCAAAGTGAATCAAGGGCCCGATCGGGCAAGAGGTTGCACGATCGGGCATGGCGCGACGTTGGTGCTGTGCATGTTTATAGCGCGCCCGATCGTGCGAGCGTCTAGCACGATCGCACGATCGGGCGATGCTGCGGAAAAGGGACGCGAAGAAAAAGGCGGGCCCAATCGGGCGCGTGTTTTTATGAAGCCTGATTAGTTTAGTTTTAATTTTTGTTTTAGAAAACGTTTAAGTACGACTTTGTACGGAATTGAGATTACCTTCTTTCTTAGACTTTCTCTCTCTACTTAGAATATTTCTCTCTCTTAAATTCTCTCTCCTTTTGTTTTTAATTATTTCCATTAATCCAGATTTCTTTTTGGTAACAATTTCTTCTCTTTTAATTTCAGCTATTTTACTTACTTCTTTGTTTATGCTTTTATTTATTTATTTGATTAGTTTAGTTATGATGATGTGTGAGTAGTTTTATTTCTAGGGTTTATGGGGATATAATAAATGATATGAAGGGGTAATTTTGTGATTGTTAATTATCAATGGTTGGTTGATTTCCTATTGATTGATTTAATGCTATGCAATTAGGTTTGGCCAGATTTAATTGTATGAGTTTAGCAATATTAATTCGAGATTCGGCAGATGAGAATTTTATATAGTATTTTACCCCCGTCCCTTGGTCCCAGATTTAATTGATCGTGCTTTTCCAATGCTCGCGATTGCTCCTAAATATCCCGGGAAAATACTCCAAAAGCATAAATCCCTGCAAAAGTCAACCAAATCTACGAAAACACTAGAAAACACCAATTAGTAATAAAAGTGGCTCTAAAGAGCCAAAAACACTACTAATTATGACCAAGGGACGGGGGTAAAATAATATATAAAATGGATACATCAGGTATCAGTCGCTTAGTAATTTCCGCTGCTCCCTAGTGCTCTGTTCCACCCCTTCTTCTCTTCTTCTCTTCCTCTTTCTTCTCTTCTTCTCTGTTTTTCACAGTAAGCATGTCGGATAACAAGTCCTCTTTCCACCCGACTTTTACTGTTTCCAACATTAAGAGTAACATTCCAATTTCTCTTGAATTGGACAATGTTGCATACTCTACTTGGGCGGAACTTTTCAAAATTCACGCTCGATCTCACAAGGTTCTCAACCATATTATTGCTCCGAAAAAGAAGGTCGATGCCCCTTCAACCGATGAGGAAAAGGAGCTATGGTCGACATTGGATAAATTGGTTCTTGGGTGGATTTATTCGACCATTTCAAAGAACCTTTTGCAAACAATTATTGAACCAGATTCTACGGCAATGGAGGCTTAGGAAAGATTGCGTGATATTTTCCGAGATAATCAAAATTCTAGAGCCGTAACCCTTGAACAAGAATTCTCCAACACAAAAATGGAGGATTTCCCTAACGCCTCGGCGTACTGTCAAAGGCTCAAGAGTCTTTCTGACCAATTGAAAGATGTAGGGGCAGCGGTCGACAACAATCGTCTTATGCTTCAATTGGTTGCCGGTCTCACGGAGTCCTACCATGGTGTTGCTACACTCATTCGACAAAGCACTCCCCTCCCTCAATTCTATCAAGCCCGATCGATGCTCACTTTGGAGGAGGCGGGTTTGGCTAGAAAGGATGCTCACTCCGCTACGGCAATGGTGGCGGTTTCTACTCGAGACACTGATTTTGGGGCTAATTCGGGTTCGGTGCGTGGCAAGAACAAAAATCCGAAGAAGAATGGTGGTGGCCGAAAACAGTCCGGCGGTGGTCAGAGTGCAGGGGGTGGTCGCGGCTCCGGTACTGGCGGCGGCCAGACGTCTGGTGGCAGTCGCGGTGGTCCGGGTCAGCAGGGTCAGCAACAGGGGTGGTCATCGTTTCCTCCTTCATGGCAGCAACAATACCCACCTTGGGGTTGGGTACCTCACTGGACACCCCAACCTTGTCCATACCCAACTTAAGGTTGGGCCAGACCTCAAGGCCTAATGAAGTAACAGCAGTCCAGCATACTAGGGTCATGACCTCAACATGCTTATGCGGCTTCCCAACAGTCTTATACTCCGACGGATATCGAATCGGCTATGCACACTATGACATTGAGCCAACCCGAACCCTCGTGGTATATGGAAACCGGTGCTACTTCGCACATGACATCCTCCAATGGTAATCTCTCATCTTATTTTAACTTGAGCAATCATTATAATGGTATTATTGTTGGTAGTGGTCATTCAATTCCAATTCGAGGTTGTGGTCATACGAATTTGCCTTCCCCAAACCCACCCTTGTCCCTTTCTAATGTCCTTCATGCACCTAAACTCATCAAAAATCTAATATCTGTTAGAAAATTCACAACTGATAATTGTGTGTCTGTTGAGTTTGACCCTTCTGGTTTTTCTGTGAAGGATTATCGGACGGGGATACCAATAATGAGATGTGATAGTCAAGGAGATCTATACCCACTCACTTCCACCACTTTACCCTCCTCTCCATCAACCTTTACGGCTTTAACATCCTCTCTTTGGCATGATCGATTGGGACATCCGGGGTCTTCCATTTTAAAGGCTCTTAGTAGTAATAAACATATTGAATGTACTCATTCCTCTAGTTCTAAAATTTGTCACTCTTGTAATAAACACATTAAGTTGCCTTTTATTTCTTCTAATTCAAATATTGTTTTTCCGTTTGATATTGTTCATAGTGATCTATGGTCTTCTCCTGTTTTAAGCTCTTCGGGTCATCAATATTATGCTTATTTTGGATGATTTTTCAAAGTTTTTATGGACCTTTCCTTTGCCTAGAAAATCTGATGTATTTGATAAGGTTTTAGCCTTTCAATCTTTTGTGCGCACACAATTCGACCGACCTATTAAAAATTTCCAATGTGATAACGGGCGGGAATATGATAACGAACCTTTATGGGCTTTGTGTGAGTCTAATGGTATGTCTTTTCGTCTGTCTTTTCCACATAATTCATCACAAAATGGAAAAGCTGAGAGAAAAATTAGATCATTAAATAATATCATTCGCACTCTTCTTGCACATGAATCTCTTCCACCATCATTTTGGCACCATGCATTGCAAATGGCAACTTACCTTCATAACATCTTACCGAGTAAATTACTAGAGTACAAATCCCCTCTCCAACTTCTCTATCAAAAGGAACTGTCTTATTCTCATATACGTGTTTTTGGGTGTTTGTGTTATCCCTTAATTCCGTCCACCACAATCAACAAGCTTCAACCTCGTTCTAGACCATGTGTTTTCTTGGGGTATCCACCAAATCATAGAGGTTATAAATGTTATGACTTATCTTCTAATAGGATCATAATTAGCCAGCATGTTGTGTTTGATGAAACGATTTTTCCTTTTGCTAAATTACACACACCCACTTCACATACATATGATTTTTTGGATGATGGTTTACACTCTTATGTGATTCATCATATGGGCGTGCCTGAGCAGCCCATTTCTCCTCTTTCGGCCCAACATAGGTCTGCCTCATCTAGCCCACACTCTATTTCTCCTCTTTCGGCCCAACATGGGTCTGCCTCAGCTAGCCCACACTCCTCTCCACCTCACCGGGCTAGCCCACACTCCTCTACACCTACACGGACTGGGCCGTGTCCACCTGTCTCTCCCAGCAATCAAGTTCCGCCACTCTCTCTTCCCAACAATGCTGCTGTTAGGCATAATAGGCCACAGCAGGACCGTGGGCTTACGCAGTCAGCCACGGCCCAGCTGCAACCTACCCAACTAGCTAGCCCCTTTGCTTCCTCTTCCCAACCAACTCCAATTCCCACTCCTCACCCAACCATTGTCACTCGTAGTAGAAATGGTATCACCAAGCCCAACCCAAAATATCACAATTTCAATACCATGGTGTCCAATTTCTGCTTTGCGTGACCCGAATTGGAAAATGGCAATGGATGATGAATATAATGCTCTTATTAAAAATAAGATGTGGGAGTTGGTGCCCCGTCCGCCTAATGTGAATGTTATTCGTTCTATGTGGATAATTACTCATAAAGTGAAATCTAACGGTGATTTTGAGAGGCATAAAGCCCGTCTTGTAGGTGATGGGTAGACACAACAGGTGGGCATTGATTGTAGGGAGACTTTCAGTCCGGTGGTGAAACCGGCTACTATTCGCATTGTTCTTAGCTTGGCTTTGTCTAAATCTTGGTTAATTCATCAACTTGATGTTAAGAATGTATTTCTACATGGTGAGCTTAATGAGACAGTCTATATGCATCAACCTCTTGGTTTCCGTGATAAGACACACCCTGATTATGTTTGTTTATTGCAAAAGTCATTATATGGTCTTAAGCAGGCACCCCGGGCTGGTACAAGAGGTTTGCATATTTTGTTGCCTCTATTGATTTTACTAATAGCAAAAGTGGCAATTGTCTATTTATTTATCGGCAGGGGTCAAATACGGCTTATTTATTATTATATGTTGATGACATAATTCTTACGACTTCTTCTCATGCTCTGCGTTGTTCTATTATGTCTCTTCTTAGCTCGGAGTTTTCTATGAAGGACTTGGGTCCTCTTAATTATTTCCTTGGCATTGCCGTGACAAGACATAAGGGTGGATTATTTTTGTCACAACGCAAGTATGCGGAGGAGATTATTGAGCGAGCCGGTATGTCTTCATGTAAGTCCTCGGCTACACCCGTTGAGGTGAAACCGAAGGACAACTCTTTCGGTTCTCCTTTTGCCGACCCCACATTGTACCGTAGCCTTGTAGGGGCTCTACAGTACCTCACTTTTACGAGGTCGGATATCTCATATGCAATCCAACAGGTATGCTTACACATGCATTATCCGAAGGATATTCACATGTCTACTCTTAAGCGGATAATTAGGTACATACAGGGTACTCGATCTTGACCATGGTTTAATTTGCACCTTTATCCTTCTTCTATTTCTACACTTATATCCTATACAGATGCTGATTGGGGTGGGTGTTTCGATACGAGACGATTTACCTCTGGATATTGTGTATATTTGGGTGATAATTTGATCTCTTGGTCATCCAAACGCCAGACTACTCTTTCTAAGTCTAGTGCAGAGGCAGAGTACATGGGTGATGCAAATGTTGTTTTGGAGTCTTGTTGGCTTCGAAATTTATTACTTGAGTTACTTTGTCCGATTAAAAAGGCTACATTGGTTTTTGTGACAATGTGAGCGCTATTTACCTTTCGGGTAATCCAGTACATCATCAGCGTACCAAGCATATTGAGATGGACATATTATTTGTTCGTGAAAAGGTGGCTAGGGGTGAGGTTCGGGTTCTCCATGTTCCTTCAAGGCACCAAATTGCGGACATATTCATGAAAGGACTACCACGTGTACTTTTTGAAGACTTCAGGGATAGTCTAAGCGTTCGTCCTCCTCCCGCTAAGACTAATGGGGTGTGTTAAGATATATTACTCGTAATATATCGTTTGACTTTGTAAACATTCAGTTACCTAGTTTATTGCTCCAGGATATTCTGTACATAGTTTATCCTAACTTATAGCTTAATTAGTGGCTTAATTGTAGGCTTGAGGTAAGTCTTGTAATGCGTATATAATCACAGTGAATAGCAATGAGAAAACCACGGAATATAATTCCTTCAATATATACTTTGGAACCAATCTAGATAAAACCATTGCAGATGTAGCTGATTTATGTGAATTGCGAGGAATAATTAAGGTGTCTCCAGGATTACAAGCACCCATTATAGCAGCATGAATTCCACAAGTTGTACCTCCTACAAGAAACCATGTTTTCGACGCCCCGAAAACCTCGGCTGCTTGGTTTTGTGCTTCCAAAAATGGGCCTTCCGGGTTACTAAGGTTGTCTAACTCGGCTATGTCATGGAGGAATGGTGTTTTGCCAATGAGTTGAGTTATTGATGATGGTGCTGCTTGACCTCTGTTGTGTCCTGGGAAAATAAAAGTTGCAACGTCTTGTTCTACCGCGTTTTTTAAACCATTTACTATTGTAGGGTTTTTTGCCATTTAGAAGCCTCGATATGATAGTACTGTTTAATTGTGATGATCAAAATTGTGTGTTAGCAAACGTGTTATGGAGAAATAGAATGAGTAGAAAATTCACGAATCTAGATACAATAAATTATGCAATTATTCTTAAGTTGTTCTTACATACCCCTCCTTTTAGGAAACCGTTTTGTTGATTCTTTGTGTCATGGTTGTTACATTCCTGCAAGAAATAAAAATAGAGATTTAAGGGTAAAATGTGATTATAAAGCAAAGTATGTTCATCTAAGCCAATTGATTTCGATCTCTTACCTCCATACAACTCAATATCTATTTGAAGCAATATGCGGAAAAATGAAAAAAAAAATAAAAATAAAACGTGTTGCAAAAAATAAGGGACGCTGCTACAGAAATAGTTTGGCTTAATTCAATAGACTAACTATATAAATACAACTTACCTACTTATAAAATATATTGAGATTTAAATTTAATTAAAAAAAAAAAATCAAACGTAATTTAAAGCATTAAAAGGACAATAATTATACGGAGTAGCTATAATAAGTGGGGAGTGGGTTGAACTTGTAGAGCCTCAAATCTTTGAGCTAAATCTCCAACTACTTCTAGATATGGCGGGTCCCAAATCTAATTGAAGATTATTGAATTATTGGACTTAAATTGCTGCCGCCCAAAAATAGTCTGTAAAATTCTCAATGCAGGGACTTCAACAACTTCATTAATGATGCTGGTCTTATGGATCTTGGTTCTATTGGAAATCCTTATACTTGGGAAAATGCCGGGCATGGGAGGCTCTTAATCAGGGAGCGCTTGGATAGAGCCATAGCTAATGCTGCATTTGTGGAGATTTTTCCTCAGGGAACCAGGGGTCGCAAAAACAAGAATTCAGATGGTGCTGGACCCTCAGTTGTTAGAATTCCTTGCTGGCGCCCTCCTCGACAGGGTTGGATGAAGCTCAATACTAATGGTGCCTAGGTCTCCAAGGATGAGGTTAGAGGAGGAGGTGTTTTCAGAAATGATAAGGGTGAATGGTTTTTTTTTGGATATTCGAGCAAATACAATGCCCCTAATGCTTTGGGATCCAAACTGTATGCTCTTAGGGAAGGTCTAAATTTTTCTCAAGCTATGCCTCTCCAGTACTTGGAAGTTGAGACTGATGCTCAACACATCAAGACCTTGCTCAACAGCGAAGGGGATCAAATGCACAATGAGCTAGCTGCTGTTATTATTGATGTTGCAAGAGCTCTTAATAACAGCAAGATGGTTATTGTTCTTAACACTACGCCAAGAGAGCTGAACTCTTTAGCTCATTACTTGGCAAAATATGCTATGACTATGAGTCTAGGCCATACATCCCATTATGTTGTTCCCACCAGTGCTGTTGTTGCTTATGAGGAGGATCTCAAAGGACTTCAGGATCACCCAGCTCTTTAGCTTGTTTGTTTTATGCTTAATCTATTTCAGTTACTGAACTCTATCTTTTCTACTGTTTTTCTAAGACTCTGCATGGTTACTATGGTTGTCAAGGTGTGCATTTTGCATCACGCACTACTTTGATTGTTTAGGATGTAATTATTAGGGCTCTGCCCTTGTAATATATGCTTCTTTTGTGTAAAAAAAAAAGACTTGTGTGCCTGTGTTGGTCATGTGGAATCACTACTTTGTCCATCCCAATCCCAACACTTTAAAGTCTTTATTTATTAATACTCTTCTACTGTCGCTTGAATTAAAATAATTGTTATCCTAGCGTATTTTCTATGTGGCTTGTTGATGAGTGTCATAAATGGCACCCATTTAATGAGGCAAGGTTGTTTTTACCGTCTTTTCATAGCTTAATTTTCTTCTTAATAAATGCTTAGTTTTATGCTTTAGCTCTTTCTTTTACCTCTTCTCTCTTATTATGTGACTTTGTGCATTTTTATGGTTTTTCAAGTCTTTTCTCCTTTATTTGCTCTCTTTTCATGGTTGTAGGTATTATACGGACCGGGTCTTTATATTGGTGGTTTACTAAGTTGGAAGATGCTTTTGGAGAAAACTCATAGCAATAGGAAAGCTTAAGAGGCAAGGAAATGGATTCTCCAAGTTCTAGCTCTTGCGCTCTCTAGCCGTGCTCTCATGAAGATGCGGTGTTGAACCCACCATCAATCTCCTTTGGATCCGCCTCCTTGGTGCCATCATCATCATTCAGTGCGCTCATTCGAAGCCATTAGCGAACGCACTAAGCCTCAAGAAGAACCGAAGGAACCTAGAGAAGCGCGGGCGCGCCACCCAGGGTCCCTGTTTTGATCAGCTTTATTTCGCGCCTCCTATTTATATCTTGTAACCCGATTTTTGGGAGAAGAATGAGAAACAGTGACAAATAATCTTTGATCATAATTTTAGCTTAGTTGAGAGCTTCTCTCTCTAATTTTAGGGTTAGTTTAGGAGTAGATTTAAAGAGAGAAAGTGAGGAATTTCAATGGTGATTGAGAGATTAAAAATCAAGGGTGACAATTGTGTTGAATATCTTCTCTATTATCAATGAGCATTTCTAACTCTATCTCATTTTATTGCTTTGTTTAATATTCTTGTTTGTTTGGATGATTTTGATGTTTGATGCTTAATTAGTGTAGTTGTTCTTGATGTATTGTTTATTCTTGATTTCCTTAGTTGTTTGTTGATTAGATGATGATTCTTGAGTAGTTGTTTGGCTAGGGATTGGGTGAAACTTGGATGATTGATTGATTGTGCTTAATTTGAAAATTATGTTGATTAATTGTTGAGATTAAAGTGATTAATGGAAATTGTGCATGTGTGTAATTCGATTAGGCCTTGAGAATTATGCTAGATTGCATTGTGAGTCTACATTGATACGGACCATTGATTTGTAGCTCACAATTGTCGATTGAGTTCGGTTAGTGATGTTCCTAGTTAGAGTATCTCGTCGTTGACGCTAGCTAGACCTCTAGGAGATAGCTTGTCGAGCTTAGGCACATAATTGAAAACACTTGAACATAACCGTTCCTAGTGGTTCGACCCTTGACTTACCTCTATCCTTGTATTTAGGTTTGTTAAATGATTATAAATTTAGTTTGACCGAGGGAGGATTAGTCAACGACCTAGTTTTCCCCTCGTCAAATGGCGCCGTTGCCGGGAATAACGTCTATGTTTAAGTGTTTTTCATTGCTTGAGTCTAAGTCTTTGTATATACTTTTCTTTTATTTAAATTTTGTTTGTTTTGTAAAAAAAAAAAGGCATGTCTTTCATTTCCTTAATATGACAATGAGCCTTTTTGTGAATATTTTTATAGACTTGAGGGAGTTTTGGATTATAATTGTTGTAATCTTTGGGAAGCTTGTGAAATTTGTTATTTTGGTTTGAATGAGAAAACTAGGAATGAAGTTGAATGCGTGCATAATGGTGAATTTAGAGCATTGTCAATTGATGATTCTTGGGATTTCTATGTTTGGTTTGCTTGGGATGTCTATCATAGGGGTAATCATGTTTCTAATATTGATATGAAATGTCTTGATTCTTCTTATATTAGCATGAATTCCCATGAATTGTCATATAATCCCATTAGTGAACCTAGAATAAATGATTTCAACTCTATTTCCTCTTTTGTTCATGATGATGAGGTGCATGCTCAAGCTGATACTAATTAATGGTATGTTTCAACTTTCTCCATTATTATTTGCCATGTCTTCTTGTGATGTGCTTCGTTATCTCAATAACGAATCTCATATACTTGATTGTGGCCCTACTCCCCAATGTGATGTATATGCTCATGATCTTAATGTTGATTCTTCCAATCTTGGTTGTACTTCTTCTTCTCTTGTTGAGCCTCAACCTTCTACGCCTTTTGAATCTCTTATTGATACTTTAGAAACTCAAATTAGGCATATTGAGCTTAGTAATGATCTTGGGCCTAATAAGGAGTCGATTCTTAATTCTTTGAGAAGTTAGTTGGAGATGATGAAAAAAAGTGAGGAGTGTCTTGAGGAGAGAAGAAAGAGACGTAGAGAGCTTGATAATCAATTGTCATCTTTGATGCTTGTTTGTGAAAATTTTAAACCCAATGTGTGTATTGAAGATGATGATGATTTTGAGAAACCAAGAGAGGGTGAGGATCCTATTGGTGAGCATTTGAGGGTTGAGAGTGAAGATAGTGTTAATTTCGAAAACCTCAACCCTTATTCCCATCTTTACGAGTCTCTTGTGCATGATTGTGATTCTTCTATCCATGAGTATCTAGACTCATTTGAGGTTATGTCCAATACGTTCTTTGAGAGTCATAAGAAAACCCATAGCCTTTTGAATGAGTTCATTGAGGATGATTCATGGGAGAGAGATGAGTTTGAAATGAATTTTCATACTTTCATGTATGGTTTTGAGACTTTAGGCTTAAAGGATGTTGAGGGAGTTATTGTTCATTGTTGTGATGGAGGAGATTTTGTAGTTCCTCTTGGAAGTTGGTTGTTTGAGGAAGATGAAGATCATGAGTGTTCTTCTTTTGAGGATTCTATGATTGATTTCCATGCTTTTATTGGTGATGTGAGGCATGGTGGTGAGGAAGAGTTCATTTGTGAGACCATACCCCCTATTCCCTCTTCTCATGTCCCCTTTTTCAAGGAAATTTCACCATATCCCCTACACTCCTATATCCCTCTCTCCCTTTGTTGATGAGTCTATTGGGGACCCCTTGTCTATGATGATTTATATGTGCCTCATTTGACCCCTATTGAGGAAAGGATGATGTTGCCACCCAAAAATATTACGAGGAGAGTTTGCCTTCTTCTTCTTCTTCTTCTTCTTCTTCTTCTTCTTCTTCTTCTTCTTCTTCTTCTTCTTCTTCTTCTTCTTCTTCTTCTTCTTCTTCTTCCTCTTCTTATTTTTTTGAGTTTTCTTTTGATTCTTCTTCTTTCTCTTGGCATCTCTCTCCTCATAGGTGTGCACTAAGCTTGTTGCATGCCTTCTTTTTGTCATGTGCACACTTACTATCTTACGAAATGTGTAGTAGTGCATTT